AAAACCTGAACCTGGTGTGGAGTCAAGCTGAAATGTCAGATGCAGCTGCTTTGCACTAGGAACTCTGTTCTGAGGTGCCAGGTACAAGGCCTCTGCACGCAGTACCCTATTAAGGAAGTGAAACTAGACCAAGGCGGAAGGAAATAAAAAAGATTAGACTTTACCTTATTTTCCAGATTCTATGTTTATTTCCTGGGAATTGTTAATGAGCTTTGCCCATGACACTATGGAAATTTTAGACTCCCAAAAGGATAGCAAATGTTTATTGGTTTAGCCAAAGATGGGCAAAACAGCCTTATCAATGTAGAACACATGCAAAGGCCAGATTACGAGGCACCAGCTACAGGTGAACCCTACAAGCTGGTCCTTCTAAAGATATTAACCTCAGGTTGGCTATGTGCAGTCCACCCTACTCCACCCCCAGCTCTCCAGATGCCTCACCTTCAAGCCCTGGCTTTATATATTCTTCTTACCCAATTCTTTGATTTGTGTAATAAACTGTTAACTTGTTCTCTTTGAATAATCTTATGTAGTCTTAAGTTTTATTTTCTGACTCTAAAGGCCTTCAGTGTCATATCTTGGATTCCAAAACCTCTCACACTTTTTGTCTGGTTCCGTGGCCACAGTTTTTAAATCATATAAATGACCACTTCCTCTGACCTGCACACATTCACTTGTCCTGAAAGTGAATCTACAGATGCAAACTGTCTGTGTCTATCAGGGTTCTTAGTGGCAGACCATAGAATACATAGCTAGTTTAAGGCTAGAAGTACACTCTAGCTAGTTAAGGCAGAAAGGGCTTGATTAAGGGGCATTAGCCCATAAAATCATTGGAAGATTAAGCGGAACAGATTCTAAGCTGAGAACCAAACTGAAAAGGGGATGCTAACTGGGGCGTACCTGCAGCTAGTGTGGTTAGGAAGCTGCAGAATTGAGAAATTGCTGCTGCTTCTGCCACACAACAGCTCTCAACCCCATGAGATCAAAATACCTTTGCAACTATGACTGTGAAAAGAGCCAGTCTCCCCATTTGCCCCTCTACCTCACCTGCTCATTCCCTCCTTCCAGGTTTTATGGGAGTGGTTTTCCCTGCAGAAAGCTTGGCCTCCAGTGGGTGCCTAGCTGCAGTGGAATCTGGGAAATGTAGTCTTTAGCCAGCCAGTCTCTAAAATACAGGAAAGCACACTGGAAGGAGCAGGAGTAGGTGTTAATTAAGCCAATCCGCAGGAATGGCCATGTCATCCTTCAAGGCCCATATCAGCTGTGCATAGTTTGTGACAGCAGGTCCTCATGGAATACCTCAGGGATTATTGACTCAGCGACTGTTTTCTACTAGGCAGTCTGTTCCAGTTATTTATTCCTGGGTAACAAACCACCCCAAAACAGTGGTTTGAAACAGCAGTTTACTGTCTCTCCCAGTCCTGTGGGTTGACTAGGCCCAGGTGGGACTATTCTCATTTCGAGTCTCTCAGGTGTATGCAATGAGATAGCAGATGGGGCTGGAATTATCTGATGGCTCAACTAGGCTGGAAGTCCAAGATGGCTTCTGCACTCACATGTCCGGCCCCTCCGTGCTCCTCAGCATGGCCTCTCTGTCCAGAAGAGTAGCTTGGATTTAGTATGTGATGGCCCAGAGCAAAAAGAGGAAACGGGAACCTAACAGTCCTCTTGAAGTCCAAAACTTGCATGGTGTCTCTTCGCCATATTTTATTGATCAGGGCAGTCACAGGCTAACCCCTGTTAACGTCTCTTCACAGAGGCAGAGAAATAGACTTCACCTTTCATTGGAGAACTGGTGTGGGCAGGGAGTGAAGGAAGGAAGTGATAGCACCCAACTTTGGAGTAGGCTACCACAGAGAGTTTTCATCTGTGGCATGTCATAGTTACCTAGAGCAGACTGTGCTGTGTCTGAAGCCCTGACCTTCATATCTTCATTCAGTATTTCATTTCATACTCTGCCATACAGATTATTCCAGCCAGGCAGCTCACAAATGCTTGTCATTGGTCACAAAGGCAGGAGAATAGGGATGGCTATATCTAGTCAGATACTACTTCTCATGTGGCATATTAATAAACCAAACACAACTTGTTATTGCTATTGCTTTCTAAACATCCTCATGATGTTTTTGGTTATCTGTAGTATTATGATTTATAATAAACATATATTTAGACTTCATCCCTGTTTCAGGCAGAGTTCCTAAAACCCCTCGAATTTTCTAAGTGGTAGGAGAGAATGTGTCTTTTGTTATGTTAATTAGGTGACTTTTGGAAAGTTCTTGGGTAACCTAAAGATGGGGCTGGTTCCCAAGGGAACCAACCAGGATTAGAGGGTTGGAACTTTCACTCCCCCACCTGATTTCCAGGGAGGGGAAGAGAGGCTGGAGGTTGAGTCATTTGCCAACGGACCAGTTATTTAATCAAGTATGCCTATGTAATGAAGCCTCGGTAAAAAACCAAAAGGAGAGGGTGCAGAGAGCTTCCAGACTGGTTAGCCAGACACTTCCTCATGCCACTGTGCCAGGCCCCAAACTCAACGAGGACAGAAGCCCCTTTGTTCAGGACCTTGCCCTATGTATCTTATCTCCCTGTTGATCTGTAATATCCTTTATAATAAACCAGCAACCTGGTGAGTAAAGGGGTTTCCTGACTTCTCTAGCAAACTTATCAAACCCAAGGAGGGGATCATAGGAACCCCTGATTTATAGCCAGTCTGTCAGAAGCACAGGTAACACCCTGGACCTGCAATTAGCATCTGAAGTAAGGGCAGGTTTGTGGGACTGAGCTCTTAACCTGTGGGATCTGATGCCTTCTCCTGGTAGATAGCGTCAGGATTGTGTTGAATTGTAGGACACCCAGCTGGTGTCTGAGAATTGCTTGGTGGTGAGGGGAAAACTTCCCTTCATGTTGGAATTAGCTACTAAGGCAACATGGTAGCAAAAGCATTAGGCTTGGTATCTGAGGCTGTGGTCAGAGATTTAGTTCTGTGAGATCATTTAGTATTGTTGAGCCTGTTTCCTTATCTTTAAAATAAAGTCACGATGCCTGCTTCACACGATTGTTGAAAGAGTAAATGAGATAACTTGTACCAGTTCCCAGAAGTAGAGCATTATACAAATGGAATTTATTGTGCGTCCCTCTCTTCCTCATCCCCAGCACCTCCTCCTTATCAGTGCTGAAGTATTGGGTAGCGGGGTCTCTGCAGCAGGTACTTCCTAAGCAACTTGTTATATGAACGTTCTTAAAGTCAGTATGTTGACCAGTTGTCCTATCCCGGAGGTGTTCGAAGGTTGAAAGTGAAATGTTCTCATCTGAAGCGTATCACAGCAGTTCTGTCTGAGCCTGTAGCCCCTCCACGTAGGTCTGTTATAAACTGAAGAAGGGTGTGTTGTGTCTGTCTCAGCTTATTGATAGTGATGCTGTTGGCTAGGAATACCTGAGGCACTCACCTAGGTCTGTACTACTTGGATGAGCTCTACAGACATTTCCCTGACTGGAGCTGATGTTGTGGCTGGACCAGCCATTGTGGTTTTTATTATGATTGAAGATACACCTCAGCAACAACTGTCAGGGAACTTTGAAAAAAAAATTTTTATTACGCACGCGTCCTGGAGGATACATGGTATGCTCAGGGCCACACAGCCAGGTAGCTGGGAGTGAGAAAGCAGAGCTGGGTCTTTGTCTTTCTTAGGGTCCAAGGACTTGGTGTCTAGGGTTTTGTGGGTTCACTCTTTATTGGTGAATTTAAAACATAAGAGCAAGAATTAGGGCATGAGAAGGGAAAAGGTGGGCGACCACTCAAGTGGTCCGTTACCCAGGGCTTTCTGAAAGGGGAACTCCATGGGTGGGGGTGGCCTGGTTCCTTACCTAGTTACTTAGTTAGTAGCTGTGTCATACAGCTACTGTGGCAATTTGTTTATTCAAGATGGATGTATTTGAAATGGATGCCTCGGCAAAACTTAATGTCAGGCACTTACATTAGCTGTGTGTCCTCTTGCAACCCTAGACACTAGAGTACCCTGTGAGTACAGTCAGATGACATCCCTATGTAACCAGCTGGTTTGTTGGCAAGGAATTCTATATTCTTCTGTCCCACTGCAGGTGGAGCGGTAGGATGCTAAGACTGATTAAAGCTAGACTCTGCATTTGCGTAGGATTACTGCTTTAAAGGGCTGTGCCGAGGGGCATGTAGTGACTTCTGCACATGCTCTTCATTTCTCAACTAGACCCATACTTGGAGTCAGAGGCTTGGCTTTGTGGCTTTACCTCTCAGGCTCAGTGTCCTTGCTGTAAAATTGAATAATGACATTTATTAGTCACTATCTTGGCTTTCGTGGAACAGTGCCAAATAGGACCACCCTTGAAGGGCCAAGACAGTGTCTTCCATCCTAACCAATCATGGGGATAGCCAGGACTCACCCCAGGTCAAATGGCTTGAAGCTCACAGTGGTTTTCTACCACAGTACCATGCTTCCGAACATATTAGGGAGAACACTGAACAGAAGGCAGAAAAAAAATTGTGTATGTGGTACTTTTTGCTTTTCCAAAGCACCTTCATTTCTGTTTCCTCTGCTTCGCTTATCAAGGAAAGTATTATTGTAATTCTTGTCTTACTAAATGCAAAGGGAAGTGAGCACTCATGTAAGGTTACACAACTAGTGAATGCATAAAGCAAGACTAGGATAGGTGGAGTCCAGAATTCTTAGCTGGTATATTGGACTATTGCTGCATCCCAAGATTTGAGCCTTCTGAAAACTTAAGGGAAACTTTATGATGCATAGAAAGGATACTGGCATAATTATTACCAGGAAGACTACATGGTCTTAGGTTATGGGACCAAGTGCCTTTGAGGGACCAATTGCTTTTATCACAGGGGTAATAAATGCTCCTCAGAGGGATCTGGTATTCCTAGAGCAGTCTTCAAGAGCTAGTCAACCTCTAGTGTAGAAATACGTGAGAATGGACCAACCGAAACTCTACAGACTCTCTCTTTCCTCTTTCAGAATCATCCCCAGGTGTGACAGAGGTGACCATCATAGAAAAGGCGCCTGCTGAACGTCATATGATTTCTTCATGGGAACAAGTAAGTGTTGCCCTATTGAATCCTCACCTCCCAACAAAGGGAGGTCAACTCAAATGCCCCTGAGAAGGAAAGATTGGACAGGAAACCTATTCTTATCTCAGGCCACAGCCACCTTCAAGGTAGAGTTCACCTTTCTCTCTGTTTCTGTTCAGGCCATTTAACACTCCCTTCCATTCCATGCCATCTCCCCAACACAGAGCAGCTCCTCTGAGCCTGTCGTATGGAGGCAATGGAACATTTGAAGTTGTATATACAACAAAGCTGAAATCCAGCAAGGAAAGGAAGAATTAAATATTAATAAGTGTGCGGGGCAGAACGTGGTTAAATGTTGCAGAGAAGTATCAATACTAACCAGATTAATAGCGAATGCTTTCCAACCCTCCTCTGAACTTCCATTCATCCATTTATTCAGTAAACATTTTAGGCCCCTAAAATGGGCCAGGTATTGTGCTTGATGTTGAGTCCTGGAGAGTCAGTGATAATCAAAAAAGAGCACAGTGTCTTACCTCTTGATCTTACTGTCTAAGGCATAGTATAAGTCATTCCAAATATAATTACAAAGCAGATCAAGTTCTGTGAAAGAGAGGTAAAGGGAGCATTGTCAGGAGGCCCGACCTAGTCTGGAGGTTGAGAAACGTTTTTCCCAAAGAAGTTTTGAGAAGTTGTTAACCAGATAGGTGAGATCTGGGAATAAGGGGCTTTTAGCCTGTGTGAAGGCTTCAAGATAGGAAGGATTACATTTTTCGAGAGCATAAGGAAGGTCCATGTGGCTAGAGCACAGGAGAGCAAGGGAGAGAGGTTGACAAGGACCAGGACATGCAGGGCTTCATAGATCATCAGGATTTCGTTCTTTATCTTGGGAGAAAAGGGGAGCCCCTGAAATGTTTTAAGTAGAGAAGTCAGATTTCTGCCCATGAATGGAAAGTGGTCCATGGACTCCTTGAAATATGTGTTAATTTATGAAGTATGTACATTTTTCTGTGGAAAGATCTTTAGATTCTGAAAGGGGCTTGTAACCCCATAAACCTTAAGAACATGTTTTTGTATGATTTTTTTTTTTACATTCAAACTAGAGGCAATATACTATGTGCCGTTTTGTCATTTAAGCAATGGAGAGCAGAAGTTTTGGTCTGAAATTCACCCGCCCCACTTCTTCACCCGAGGGTTAACTGAAGAGCACATTTCCACAGGAGCAAGCTAGGCAGGGCCCCTCTGACTCGTGCCTGCTCCCAGAAGTACCTGTACCAGAGGAGCAGGAGGGCCCCAAGGAGCTGGTAAGTCCCTTCTCTAGGGGACTGACCCTTGAGAACTGTGTCCTTGGAGACGGCCCAGCCAGAGCAAGCCATCATGTGGTAAACCTGCTGTCTACAAATGCATCTATATAGCCAGATAATATTTTTTCCTTCCAAGAAGAGGTCCACTGCCTCTGCCCTGGGAAACCCACTGAGATAAGATAATAGTAAGGCTAGAGGCACTGATGTGAGGAAAACAGCCTAGAGTAGGAGTCTTGTGCCAGCTCAGGCCCTTGGCTAAATATCATAACTTCTCTGTGTCCCCTGTTCATCATCCATAAAATAAATGGTTTGACATTAGTGTTATTTTTTTTTAATTTTATTGAAGTATAGTTGATTTACAATGTTGTGTTAATTTCTGCTGTACAGCAAAGTGACTCAGTTATACATATATATTCTTTTTCATATTCTTTTCCATTATGGTTTATAACAGGATATTGAGTATGGTTCCCTGTGCTGTACAGTAGGACCTTGTTGTTTATCCATCCTAGATACACTAGTTTGCATCTGCTAATCCCAAACTCCCAGTCCTTCTCTCCCCCCTTGCCTCCCACCTTGGCAATCTGTTCTCTATGTCTGTGAGGCTGTTTCTGTTTCATAGATACGTTCATTTGTGTCGTATTTTAGATTCCACATATAAGTGATACCATATGGTATTTGTCTTTCTTTTTCTGACTGATATGATAATCTCTAGGTCCATCCACATTGCTGCAAATGGCATTATTTCATTATTTGTGGCCAAGTAATATTCCATTGTGTGTATGTATGTGTGTGTGTGTCTCTCTCTCTATATATATATACATATAGACACACATACACACCACATCTTCTTTATCCATTCATCTGTCAATGGACATTTAGGTTGTTTCCATGTCTTGGCTATTGTAAATAGTGCTGCTATAAACATAGGGGTGCATGTAGTTTTTGAATTATATTTTTGTCTGCGTATATGCCCAGGAGTGGGATTGCTGGATCATATGGCAACTCAATTTTTAATTTTTTGAGGAATCTCCGTACTGTTTTCCATAATGGCTGCACCAATTTACATTCCCACCAGCAGTGTAAGAGGGTTCTCTTTTCTCCACCCCATCTCCAACATTTATTATTTGTAGACTTTTTTTTAAAATTTTTGGCTGCATTGGGTCTTTGTCGCTGCGTGCTGGCTTTCTCTAGTTGCGGCAAGTGAGGCCTACACTTCATTGTGGTGCACAGGCTTCTCATTGCGGTGGTTTGTCTTGTTGTGCAGCACGGGCTCTAGGCGCATGGGCTTCAGTAGTTGTGGCACTCAGGCTCAGTAGTTGTGGCTCACGGGCTCTAGAGCACAGGCTCAGTAGTTGTGGCGCATGGGCTTAGTTGCTCCGCAGCATGTGGGATCTTCCCAGAACAGGGCTTGAACCCCTGTCCCCTGCCTTGGCAGGCTGATTCTTAACCACTGTGCCACCAGGGAAGCCCTGGAGACTTTTTGATAATGGCCATTCTGACCAGTGTGAGGTGGTACCTCATTGTAGTTTTGATTTGCATTTTTCTAATAATTAGTGATGTTGAGCAGCTTTTCATGTGCCTCTTGGCCATCTGTAGGTCTTCTTTAGAGAAATGTCGATTTAGGTGTTCTGGCCGTTTTTCGATTGGGTTGTTTGTTTTTTTGTTATTGAGTTGTATGAGCTGTTTGTATATTTTGGAAATAAAGGCCTGTCAGTCACATCATTTACAAATATTTTCTCCCAGTCCGTAGGTTGCCTTTTCATTCTGTTTATGGTTTCCTTTGCTGTGCAAAAGCTTGTAAGTTTGATTAGGTTCCATTTATTTATTTTTGCTTTTATTTCTATTGTTTTGGGAGACTGACGTAAGAAAACATTGGTGCGATTTATGTCAGAGAATGTTTTCCCTATATTCTCTTCTAGGAGTTTTGTGGTGTCATGTCTTATATTTTTAAGTCTTTAAGCCATTTTGAGTTTATTTTTATGTATGGTGTGAGGGTATGTTCTAAAATCATTGATTTACATGTGGCTGGCTGTCCCACTTTTCCAACACCACTTGCTGAAGAGACTGTCTTTACCCCATTATATATTCTTGCCTCTTTTGTTGAAGATTGTCTGTAGGTGTGTGGGTTTATCTCTGGGCTCTCTATTCTGTTCCATTGATCCATATGTCTGTTTTTGTGCCAGTCCTATGCTGTTTTGATTGCTATAGCTTTGTAGTATTGTCTGAAGTCTGGGAGGGTTATGCCTCCTGCTTTGTTCTTTTTCCTTAGGATTGCTTTGGCAATTATGGGTCTTTTATGGTTCCATATAAATTTTAGGATGATTTGTTCCAGTTCTGTGAAAAATGTCATGGGTAATTTGATGGGGATCACATTGAATCTGTAGATTGCTTTGGGTGGTATGGCCATTTTAACAATATTAATTCTTCTAATCCAAGAGCATGGGATATCTTTCCATTTCTTTGAATCATCTTCAGTTTCCTTTACTAGTGTTTTGTAGTTCTCAGCATATAAGTTTTTCACCTCCTTGGTGAGGTTTATTCCTATTTTTTTTTTTGGATGTGATTTTAAAAGGGACTGTTTACATTCCCTTTCTGATATTTCATTGTTAGTGTAAAGAAATGCAACTGATTCCTGTATGTTAGTCTTGTATCCTGCTACCTTGCTGAATTTGTTTATCCGTTCCAGTAGTTTTTATGTGGAGTCTTTAGGGTTTTCTATATATAGTATCGTGTCATCTGCATATAATGACACTATTACCTCTTCCCTACCAATTTGAATACCTTTTATTTCTTTTTCTTGTCTGATTGCTGTGGCTAGGACTTCCAATACTATGTTGAAGAGAAGTGGTGAGAGTGAGCATCCTTGTCTTGTTCCAGAATTTAGCAGGAAAGCTTTCGACTTTTCACCATTGAGTATTATATCGGCTGTGGGTTTGTCGTAAATAGCTTTTACAGTAAGTCCCCTACATATGAACAAGTTCCATTCCAAGAGCGAGTTTGTAAGTCCAATTTGTTCATAAGTTCAACAAAGTTAGCCTAGGTACCCAACTAACACAATCAGCTATATGGTACTGTACTATAATAGGTTTATAATACTTTTCACACAAATAATACATACATAAAAAACAAACAAACACAAATGATAAAGAAAACATTTTTAATCTTACAGTACCTTGAAAAGTAAAGTAGTACAGTACAACAGCTGGCATACGGGGCTGGCATCAAGTGAACAGGCAAGAAGAGTTACTGACTGGAGGAGGAAAAGGAGGTGGGAGATGTTAGAGCTGAAGGATCATCAGCAATAGGAGACGAGGGCAAGCTGCAATTTCACTCATACCTGATGTTGATGGCACAGGTTCTGGCTTTTTGCTGGATTCAATTTTATCCACATTCTTGAAAAAATGATCCAGTGATGTCTGGATAGTACCTCTTTTTTTCTCGTCATAGATGGCCCAGTAGCACTGGATTGCATTCTGAATGGCTCCTGCAGCCTTTGTGTACCATCCTATGTTCGGGTCCCGTGCCTCAAAAACTAACAGTGCCTCCTCAAATAGAATAATTTTTGTGATTGGACATGCAAATGCATGTTTGCATCTTTGAAAGTTCGCAACTTGAAGGTTCGTATGTCGGGGACTTACTGTATTATGTTGAAATATGTTCTCTCTGTACCCACTTTTGTAAGAGCTTTTATCCTAAATGGATGTTGAATTTTATCAAATGCTTTTT